ATTTTGAAAACATGTACAAATATTATACAATTGGACTTACGGAGTGACACGTGATGCAACAAAAAGAGAGGCAACAGATGTTTTTGGTCTGTGTAAGTCTTGACCAGTATGTTTAAGTCATGTCTGGGTTTGATCTAGTAAACATTTGGTGAATGTGTATTTTATTATTATCTTAATATGACCTTATCTGGTTAAATCTGATCTAATCTGATATGTTTAAGTCGGGTGTGGTCTCGTATGAGATTGAAAATAAGTTAACGAAAGAACAATGAGAAAATGAGCTTGAAGCCATTGGGGTACAGTGGGATGTGGGAGGAGAAAAACGGCCTGCAAAAAAGGTTGAAGAAAATGCAAAAGGGAAAAGAAAATGTGGATGACTTGTTATAGCAGGTTGCTATTAGGTCACTTGACCATATTGATGTTTTTTTAAAGTAAGTATACTTTGGTGATTCTTTTTTTATTAGAAGGGCTTAGGTGATGGCAGGGGCGGATCCAGGAATGAGGGGTGGAGTAGGCTAAGCAATAAAAATTTTCGTTACTGTATACAAAAGGTTTAGCTTAGGGCTGATAGTTATTGAACTGAGTTTTTTTTTTCGAACTACTCGAGTTCGATCGTGATTTTGAATTTAAGTTAATGACCAAATCTTAACGAACTTCAATCTCGAACACGGGCTAAATTTTAGTTTAAATAGTTTGTTTTTACAAAAAAAGCGGCCGTTATTTTTTTGAGTTTGAATAGTTATTCAAGCTGAATTCGAGCATAGTCATGTTCAGTTCGATCTGGACTCGAGCATATTGATAACTTATAAATTATAGAAATAAACTATATAATACCTCCGCCCACTTTTATTAAGACTAATTTGGCTTTTGAAGTCAAAGAAGTTAAACTCTGAATGACTATATATTTATCCAATAAAATTGATAATATGAAAATGAAATGGAAATGTTCTTTGTTAAAAAGTTTATCATAAAAGTATAAATTTAGTAAGTTTCACATTAATACATGAGTTAAAATGATGGATCAAAGTTTACCATCTTTGACTAAAGAGTCAAAGATGGCTAATAAAACGAGACGGAGGTAGTATATCTAAAATTTAAACGTTTTTAGTGTGATTTATAATTTTATTATTGATTAGTAAAGATTTTAGTATTTATTGATATGTATTAAAATACTTCTATAAAAGTATAAAACTAATAAGTAAAAATAGTCGATGTACATAAATCTAATAAGTATTCCCAATTTTAAAATTGAATTGAGATTTTGAATCCATTCTTACATGCCTAAACAGTAAATACATCGTTCTCTATTCTTTAATTGCATAATAAATAAATCATTTTCTAATCGTTAATTCTATCTTTAATCATTATAAATTTATAATAAATAAAAACTACGGAGTATTTTACTATCTACTGAAAAAATTCAAATAATAATCAAATAGAATTACAAAGTTGGTAGGCTTGGGCTGGGCTATACATTAATTTTGAGGTGGGCTGGAAATTAAACCTATACCTATAATAATAAAAATCAATTGGGCTGGGCTGGGCTGGAGCCCACCCCTGCCCCAACATAGATCCGCCCATGCGGTGATGGTTTCGTAATAGTAAAAGGGCTTATTTGACCCTTTTTTCCTTTTATTTAAGATTGTGAACTGACTTATTGTCCATTTAATGGGAATAAATTATTTATTTATTTATTAAATAATTAGGTTATGGATTTGGTGTATGGCCATAAATAAAGCTTTGATGACTTTTTAATGTTTTTATATAATTTTAGCACATTGATCTTGCTCAACTTAGCGCAAGAGCCCCGTTAATTGTGATGAAATTTTAGCTCACTATCCTTCTTTAGTTTACAAAGTGTTACCGGAATTTCCAAATTTTTCCAAGGCCTAGATGTCTTTGCACTCTATGCCCTTAGTGTTTTAGCCTCTGTCTAGCATTTCATCTATACTAAATGATTAGCACTATTCCTTTTTCTTGTATTCATTTCTGGATCCCTTTAAAGTTTCATCATATCTAATTTGTTCATTTTATGTTGCACTTAGTGATGATCTTTTAAGTTTGTTAGCCCTAATTGGACTTTTCAAAACGAACTATCTAAACCCCTGGAAGAATAAGGCAAGACTGTCCTAGAAAAGTTGATTTAGAAGCCAACGAACTGTCTGATAGTGGAAAAAATTCTTCAATTACCCAAATTTCTACATAGATTATATTCCCTTTATGTCTACGGTTAATATCTTCCCTTAAATTCCTATCACCCAAACAAAATTTACAAAACCATAGAGCTATATGATTCTGCTGCTGCTCTAAGCTGCAAGGCAACAAATTTATGAATGAATGCTTTATCTCCTTAGAGCATTTAAAAAGTAGGAAAACTCATTTATGCGTTTTATTGTTTGTAGGTTGGAAATTTGGCAGTTTTTTATTCCTTGGTGGGGGCATTTGTGCACTTCAAGTATTCTTGAGATGTCACATGGATTCCTTTGATGTCCTGGATCCCTATTCTTTCATTGAAGTGTGCTGCTTTTGAATGGGAGAACTTGTGCTTAAGGGGTACATTTATCATAGTCTTTTTTACATAAACATAAATCAGTAAATTAGTAACTAGAGTTGGAAAGTTGCCCAACATATTGTGGGCAATACTGGAGGACTCTGAGAAATGTAATGGGTGAGACTTCATTCTCACTAAGCTACAACTTCGAAGAACATACCAGCATGGTCTTAATCCTCCGCCATTTGCTGCTGATGGTGAGGAGATGTGAAAAATGTTTCTTTGTCTTAATCCTCCCTGCAAAGTGAGTTAGAAAACTATTGACCAATTGCTGCTGTCTGGAGTCGATGAATGAACTCATTCGGAAGTCTATTCACTCAGTCATATGGTTTCCCCGGAACATACGATACATTTACTCATCGCTAGCGTCAAGCACCAAGAGTAAGTTTAGATAATAATCATCTAAAATCTTTTCAGTTTTTACAGCCCAAAAATCTAAAAAATATGTAGTTTTGGCTTATTGTTATAAACATATACCATTGAATCGTTAAGGAAATTGATACGTTTTTTTTTTGAAGTGATATACAAAAAAGTGTAATGCAATTTACCCCCTCAACCCGAAAGGGAGAAAAGCACGAGACTTTTTAGACTAATGTCCAAACCCTCTCTTTCTCATTAAAACTCTCCTCACCATTACAATATACAAGCTCCCATTAATGGAGTATTGAGCTAGCTAGAGAAATAAGGAAGAAGAAGCTAATCACCATTACAATATACAAGCTCCCATTAATGGAGTATTGAGCTAGCTAGAGAGAAATAAGGAAGAAGAAGCTAAAAGAGGATCCCTAAACATGTGGGAAAACCCCATATTTACAGGGGAAAAGGAGTAGGGAAAAACCTACCCTAATGGGCCAAGTGGGCCGAAATGGGCCCAAAGGTCGAAACAGGCCTAATAAGCTAAAACGGGCCTCACTTATCGGGCTCCGTACTACGTACAGTCTTGGGCTCCTGAATAGTAACGGATCGGGATAATATATCTCAACAGTGTTATTATTTGTGGCTTGCATTTTTGATTAATTTTATTTGAAAATAGGTATTAAAATATAAAAGAACAATGTGATATTTCGCGTTCGGGCTTTAAATGGCCCAACCCGAACCCGGACCGAACCCGGGCTGCCAAAAACCCGACTCAGACCGAATATAATGGGTTTTGTTCCGGTCCCTAATTTTTATAACCCGAGACCTTCTGGGTAATTTTCGGGGTTTAGCAAAAACCCGACCCAGACCGGACCGATCCCACCCCTACCTGCAATCGATAGGTGTTACTCCCACTTTTTGCCTGGTTCTCTCATTCCACAAACGGCCTTTTCTAGTATACTCACACATCCAACGTAACATACACATCTTTGTCATACTCATCTTTTAAATGTGACATTGCTTCACCGTCCAAACTCTAAGCCATACATTAATGTAGGTCTCATTGTTGCCCGATAAAATTTACCCTTCAATCTAGTCAGAATACCTCGATCAAATAATTGTGCCAATTATACAATTGTTTTCTTAGGTACTTTTAAATTAAATACAGAGAAGGTAGAACTATGATGTTTTTAATTAGACTGGTTTTAATTTCATACAATAATGCTGGGTTTATAGCCCGATAGTGGAACGACCCATTACCCTTTAACAAAGAAACCATCGAAGCCTAGTTAGGGCATGTCCCAGCAAGGGAACCCGCCAGAAGTTCATCTTTACAGAGAGGACGATCGGCTTCAACATCCTTAGCCTAGTGAGCAAGGTGGCGATCAGGGGCTACGAGGAGGATGATCGGTGTGGGCCGAGCGGAGTCCGATCCTTGTACTCATGTGCATCCAGGACGCAACAGCAAGGGGACGCTCGTCAAGACCTTTGGTGAGAAACCAAGATATTGGCGGGAAGCGCATTTAATGCATTAGATTTGTGGTTGGGAAGCTAGAATCTTACAGTCTCCCACGTTATCAGTATCACCTACGTCTTGTTAGTATAAATAGTACTCCCTCCGTCCCAAGTTGTAAGATACTTTACGGTTTACGATGTTTGACCGAGATAAAGCAAATTGATCCCTGTCAACACTCAAATTAGTTTTATAAAATAAAATTTACATATTCAAGTACTACATTAAAACCGCTACAAAGCCTGCAAAAAATAATTCATATTCATAAACTTTTGATATATAAAGTAAAAGATTAATAGTGATTTATGTTGACCAAGTGAATAGTAAGTGTATCTTACAATTTGGGACTGGAGGAATATCATTTATTTCATTGTAAAGGATTGCCAACTTATGCTCCTTAGCAATAACAATTATCCCCATCCTCTTAGCTCAGACAGACAATCGACCCGTTGGACTCAAAGTGAAGTGTGTTGTAACGGACTTATTATTATTGACTTAATAAGATACGACCCACTTACCACCCTTATTACTTGTGTTTCTTACTTGCTTGCATCTCATATTCCACTCGAGGGGAGGTGTTGGACCTCAACAAATACAAAACTTAATTAGACCAAATTATGACAGGGGATAAAACAAATCAAAGAGCCGAAGGTAGCATGAGTTTGAGGGTAGCGTGAGGATGACTGGGGTATTCAGATTCCGATAAATAAAAAGCCTCTCTCTCTCATCCCAATTTTCTCTCTCAAGTTTTCACAGGAAAACTCTATTTTCCCGCAACCATTTCCATCTATACATAGCACAATCCCTAATCGCCCACCTCTCACTCACACATCTCATTCCCTTCAAACCGTCGTCCCGCAAATTTCCGGTACGGATACTCAATTTCATGTATTTCCTGTTTCTGATACGCAGGTAGTTGCTTTTTGGTAAGTCAGCTCTTTTGCTGGTTGAGATCGAATAAGTTAAATGTGAATCCTAGGTGTAGGTCTAACGGATTGGCTTGGTCCGCCGATGACATGTTTGAATTTGATTTGGTTTTGTGAATCTCTGCGATGGATTTTATGTTTGTAGCTTTAAATATGATGCCTTTATGAAAAATAATGAATTTAGTCGGAGGATGTGGGTTATTGCTTTTTATGTATGAGATCTGGGGTTTTAAGAAACTTTTTTGCTTCTTGTTTGTTCCGTGAATTGAAATTTAATAGAAATAGAAAAAAAACTTCTCTCTTTTTGGCCTTTTATTTTTCTTACTATTTTATAATAAGGATTCTTGACTGTTAGCAACTTATTTATGCAAACGTATGTTTCATTCTTCGTGCTATTAAGTCAATCTGATTCAATATCAGCCCTCCTTGATGCGCTTCATACATTTAGAAACCTTAATAAGCTTACTTAACTTTTACCTATATGAAATGTGGTGGTCTTGGATTAATGTGAAATCTCTGACAGGAATCAACTTTCTTCTTAGTGAATAAATTGTTAGGATCTGATTGCCTTACTATAATTTAGTGTATCTCCAAATTTGGGAATCTAACATGTCCTGCCTTCTATGTTACTGCTTTCGGAAGAGTGAAACATACTGTTATATGTCTTCGAACTTTTATCAATGGTTTTTCCCGCTAGATCCGTTTCTCAGATGTGGTTTTGGTTTCTTGCACTCAAGCTGCTTGTATGTAGTCATGATCACGTGAACATTGATGCTTCATTTTCCCTAGTTTTGTAATTTACCTTTTTAGCGTAGGAAATACTCATAATTGGATTTGTTAAAAAGGTATTTTCAGAGCATAAGCAATAAGTCCATTACAACATCATGCCCTATTTTGCTGGGAAAACAGTATCTTTGACCCCCTAGGTTTTTAAAAATATTTTATCTCATGCATCAACTACGTGTCTTGTTGAAAGTAAGGTTTTGAAGGGGGTATATTTAAAGATATTTTTAATGTATTTGCTTTGCATTGAAAATACTCCCCCATTTAAAAAAACAAGTCTTGCTTGAGTAAGGTGTAACTTTTTAACGTTAGTGAGCTCGATCAAGGTACAAGCTTTTAAAAAGCTATGAATGATCAGGTCACATATACCCCTAAAACTTATTTCAAAGATAGTTTGCAGTAATTATTAAAATTGTTTGCTGCTTCGCTCTATAGGAATTTTACTTAGGACTGTATTTGGACTTTTAAAACTGGACTCCTTGTTCGGACAAAAATAATTCTTAAAAGTGGACATTTTTGGAAGGGGTGTAGGAAAAGGTTCACATAATATATCAATATGTGATTGTATAACATTTCAATAACATTTCTATTTGTTTTAAAAACACTCTACTATATTTATCAATATATAGATTATAGGCTAGTCTTCAAAACCCTCTATCCATACAGACCCAAATACTTGGTATGATATTGATTTTGTCCATTACAAATCGGGGTATTATACTATTAATTGGATAAATATTTTGTTTTTTTTTTTCATTTTCGTATTCAAAATTTGTTTTAAAGTAGCTCTTACAGAGGAGGCCCTGTGCAGCTGTGCGAGAGCTACCTCAATATAGTTGTTGTCTGGAAGAAATGTTAATTACACCGTACTTTTATATGCTCAAAAACTCAATGCAACAATATTTGAAATTTTATATCAATCCCTGCTTTTTCCTTTACAGATCAATAATTAATTTAGAAATGGCAAAGGGAACCAGAGGAAGGCGCAGGATGAGCTCACGGCAATGCAGGCCCACCCCATACCCCTTGCCGTCTGCAAACCAAAGCCAATGCTCGAAAAAGTGTAAGAAAGACTGGGAAGACGCTACATGTTCAGTGTGCATGGAATGTCCCCACAATGCCGTCCTTCTCCTCTGTTCCTCCCATGACAAGGGTTGCCGTCCCTACATGTGTGGGACCGGCTACCGTTACTCAAACTGCCTTGACCAGTACGAGAAAGCCAACACAAAAGTGAAGTCCACAAACCAATCTGTTCAAAATACCACAACAGGTCCCATACTTTGCCCAGACTGGCCCGACGAGAAATTTGAGATCACAGAACTCGCATGCCCACTTTGCCGCGGGCAGGTCAAAGGGTGGACCGTGGTGGAACCTGCCCGGGAATACCTTAATGCCAAGAAAAGGAACTGCATGCAGGATGGTTGTCAGTTCATGGGGGACTATAAGGACATGCGGAAGCATGTCAAAACAGAGCACCCTTCCGCTAGGCCCCACGAGAAGGACCCGCTTGTGGAGCAGAAGTGGAGGCGGCTCGAGGTGGAACGGGAACGTGATGATGTCATCAGCACGATAAGATCTTCGATGCCAGGGGCGGTTGTATTTGGGGATTATGTGATTGAGGGAGGCCCATTTGGTTACGGTTCGGATGAGGACGATGACGACGAGGTCGGAATAGAAGGTGGGAATTTGATTAACGTGTTGCGGTTTTTGCAGGCGTTTGGTTCAGCAGGTGGTAATATTGTTGGAGCAAACAGAGTAGCTCCCGGTGGAGGTTCTGGAATTGATCACAACCTTCCAGTTGTTTTTGATTACTCAGAACAAGAGAGTGATGATGGTGAATATGATAATAGTACGTCGTTGGTCGGGCGGCTTCGCCGTCACAGAGGGATCCTCTTGGGACGTGCTGGAAGGAGACGAAGGCATCGGGAGGTCAACAGTGGTGGCCGGAGGTAGATCACCACTTGTCGTTTTATTATTGACCGTTGAAACGGGGAAGGAGAAAATAAAACATTCTCAAAAAGAATTCTAGGGGTGTTAGTTTAAACTTCTGTATAATTCATGTGCAACTATTATTAATATTATTATCTCATCATTGATGTTTCAATACTTGATGAATTTGTATGATAAGTTTGGTTGAGAGGTCCACAGCATTTGGAGATTGGAGGGTTCCCCAAGAACTCTGGGATTTTCGTTGCTCGAACACATGCATTTTCTTGTCCATTTAAGAAGAAATGAATGAATGCATTATGCAAGTGGTTTGTGTGTAGTTGAGATGAATGTTGGGTGTGAAAATTCGTTTATTTAAGTTGTTTTATTTAACTTTGAAGGTGGGTTGGGTTGGTGATTGGATAATGATGAGGAATTGAATGGCATTCGTTTATTTGTAATTGTATTAGTTGATAGTATGACTGTATGAGGGACAAAGTTTACACAAATGTCTGGTGGTAGGCTTTCATAGTTTCATTAGTGACAAGACAGCCGCGTTGGGATGGCAATCTAACCTACTTACCTACCTCCTCCTGCTACTGCTTGAATTAAGTGATAAGAATTACTCCATCCGTCCCGAAATGAGGGTCTCATACTTTTTAGCTCAAAGTGGTTGAAAGGGTAAAGATTGTGATTGAGATTTGAGCAGAAAAATGTGAAATAATGTGTGTAAGGAATAAATGTAATTAGATTTTGATGATGCTAGGATAATTAGATTAGAATTTTAGAGTACCCCCATTTAGATCTCTTGTAATAGAATTTTCAATTGTAAGTATTAGTGTAGTCATCGATCAGAGCTGCTCTACTGGGATCAGATCAGAACTGCCATGAGAACTGCTGTCAGAATTGCTTTCGGGAAACTATGAGAGTTGCCCATCAGTGAAGCATCAGAGCTGCTCTTCAGAGAACCATCAGAGTTCCTCATCTAAGTTCATCAAAACCCAAGATCAGAATGCCATCAGAGAAGCTCATCAGACTCCGACTTACACTTGGAAGATTTCGAAGATGTCTTCAACGGCCGGGAAATCCATTAATGGCTAGAAGATATTTCATCCAAGGAAAGCATTCAATGCTCATTTAATGAGCCTGATACGCTGTGGAGTAATTGCAGATGATTGACCGAGAATCCTGGAGAATATTATACAAAAATAGAAACCTGCCAAAACTGCGGGTCCAACCGGTCAAATCCACAGTACGCGCATTTAATGCAGTTGTCTCCTCCTCCAATGGGTAGACAACCCCAGTATATAAGCTACACGCTGAAGAACATACAAACAACTTTGCGACAATCATAATACTACAAGCATTCTTGAGATTCAAACTCCATAATCATCAACAAGACAAGCTTACGTTGGGAAGATTCAAATCTCCATATCCTCCAATCCCAACACACAGCAAAGTTCGTCCTGTTCTTCAACCTTCAAGGACTTCAACTACATATCCTTTGTAACGAAGCAAGTTGGAGAAAACTTTTTTTTAAAAAACAACTTCTGCAAAGAAGGGCGTCCAAGTAACTGCAGTAGTGAAGTGGTGATACTTCCGGGAAGCTGAGTGAAAGGACCAGTCATCAGGAAGCAGGACTGCATCCCGGGTGACAACTAGACTTGAAGAAGGCGTGGAGAACTTCTTAAGTGTTAGGGACTACGCTTTGTAATCGTTTACCTCAAAGCTAGTGGAACAGTGGACTAGAGGAACGCGTTGTTCCTTGAACCACTATAAAACCCCCGGTGTCATTTACCTTACAGCAATTTAAATACTGCACTTAGGATTTTAACTGTATAACTCTAAGACTTGGAATCTGTGTTCAGCAGATCTTGTTCTCAGAGTTATCAGAAAGGCAAGAGGGAACTTCTCACATGCTGTTGTACTGGACATGGTTGTAGAGCAAGAGGGTATGTATTTGCACAATGGTGCATCATTTGTTGATGGGCAGGACACTGATGATGATGCTGACGAGAACATCAATGGTGATGAGATGATTGAATCTGATGAAGATGATGGTGATACTGTCACGGCAACTGCCCCCTCTAGCCACTTTACTAGAATTTATGATCTCCCTGAAGGCTTTACTGGTGTGTGGATGAGTGGATCAGGTATGAAAATGTTTACCCCCGAAGGTGAGTTTGAGGTCGGTCAACAGTTTGACAATAAAGAACAAGTCATCAATATGGTGAGCTTATATTCTATCAAACAGAACCAATTTTATCGGGTGATGGAGTCCGATAAATACAAATGGGTGGCGCAGTGCAAAAGGAAGAAAGAATGTGATTGTCCCTGGAGAATACGCGCCACAAAGAACAAAGGCAACCTTGACAGCTTCACAATTGTGCGTCATCCGGGACCTCATTCAGCTACGTGTGTTGGCAATGTGTTGTGAGCAGATGTGTTATATGTTTTATAATGTGTTGTATCTGACTCGTAATACTTAAACAGGAGAAGGGAGACCTTATTTATAGCAAACAGATGAGTTTGGGCTGAACTGGAGCAAAAAAGGTGCTGAAATTCACTTTTCCGAAGTACGCACGATCGTGCGTGGCTGGCAGTAGCTGCTAGCCTTCGATCATATGCATGGGGTAAGTCGCCCAACCGTTGGGCGACTTACTCTGACCATGGTTAATTCTAACAGTAGATCGGTAAATACTTTTTTTCAGCATTAATTAATTAATTAACATTAATTCGGAAACATTAAAAGAACTAAAACAATACAAAGTACAAAGTAATTGGGTTAGGCTGGTTTAGGTATTGTGGATTTGTGGTCTCATTTTATTTGGTGTTTTATTCACTCATTCGGTCTAGGACCAAGGGTCCACCTCTGAGTAATGCTAAATGTACTATTGCTTGTCATATTACCCCAATCGAAGATCTAGGATGACCCAAAGGTGCATGAGCGACCAGCGGCGGACGCAGGATTTTTGGAGTGCGGGGGCAAAAAAATTATTGAAGCAAAATTTAATAACCGCAAAATTAAGCATGACTTTATATATACATTAATATGATCATCAAATTTGGACAAAATCACACACCAATGTAATACTAGATACAATACTAGATATAAAGTCAACATTGTGTACCTTAACAATGTAAGCACACTTCAAAAACACAAAATATAAGGATAGATATTGTAGTATCTGCAGCACCTTCAAACATCCAAGGTTGAACATAATAGAGGAAGTGGAAAAGCTGGATGTTCAACACCTTCAAGACCTTCACACACCAAATATAAACAGAATTAGTAAAGTATGATATATAAACTTTATAGAATATAATACCTTTGTGGTAAAAGACAGATAAAATACTCACCCATGCCATTAAACTTTATTTAGGAAGCTTGAATTGCAATCTTCTTTCTTTCATATCACAAAACTCATCAATAATGGTGTCTGTATCAAAGGATTGTGCAATTTCCTTCTCAATATATGTGATCAGATAACTTGTTAAAAAGTCATCCTCCATTTTGTTTCGAAGCCTTGTCTTTACAAGTTTCATAGCAGAAAAGGCACGCTCACCGCTAGCGGTAGAAATCGGAAGAGTCAACACAAGTCGAACTAATCTATCAACAAGAGGGTATATCTCTGCCTTTCTTGTCTTCACTAACTCTTGACAAAGCTCTGAAATTGTTGACAAATTTTTAAGGCCTGGGAATTGATGAATGTCAAGCTCAAAGTGCTCCAATTGAAATCTCAAATGTAATTTTTCTTGTTCGGAGAAATCATCTGGATAATATTTCTCAACGAGCTTACAGACATTTTCAATGCTAAAATATTTGTAATCATCTCGAGGGTCTAAAGCAGAACAAAGCACAAGCAATTCCATCATATTGGCAGTAAACCTCTCATTCAGTTCCTGCAACTGAGAATCAACTGTAGCAATAAAAATATCATATTGAAAGTGATGTGCCATTGTGTTCGGACCCTTTATGCGCCTTGATCGGCCTCTACCTGCAGTGTAATGGTCAGTCATATTGGGGATATCAATACTCATCTTCTCACAGAATAGTTTCACTTTCCCAAACAAGAGATCCCACCCATCTTCTCTTAACTTCTGGATCAATGTCTTTGTTGTGGAGACAAGATGCATTGCATTCACAATATCCTGAGACTTGCACTGTAAAGCTTGACAAAGATCATATGAGATTTCCAAAATATCTATCATAATGTGCAAAATAAGAATGAATTCAAAAGAAGTTATTCCATCATAAACTGCATCTGCATCTGCTCGTTGAGCATATGTGGTTCCGTCAGAAATTATATTCTTCAAAACTGAACAAGTAGCCACATACATGATTTTCAAACTTCTTAGAGAACTCAAATGTGAACTCCATCTTGTTTCGCTTGCCCTCTTTAAAGTACCTACTTGATTCAAACCTCTCCCAGTCTCTAACTCTTCAATACGAATTAATCGTGCAATTTCTTCAGCTTGTGCGGCTTGTAATTGATCATGCCGTTTACAAGAAGCGGTAACAACATTGGTTATTGTATTCACCTTTTCAAAGAAATGATGAATAGGAATAACCTCTTTGGCAGCTGCAACTAAGGCCAATTGTAGTCTATGAGCAAAGCAGTGTATATAATAAGCATATGGACACTCATTAGAAATAAGTGCTTGTAATCCGGACCATTCTCCACGCATGTTGCTTGCTCCATCGTATCCCTGACCTCGAATATCCCCCACATTCAGATTGTGCCTTCTAAGAACATCACAAATTTCTTTTTTTAAAGTTAGTGAGGTTGTATTGGGAACGTGAACAATATCAAAAAATCGTTCCATCACATAACCATGTTTATCAACAAACCTTAAAACAATAGCCATTTGTTCCCTTTTTGATTCATCCCTAGCCTCGTCAACAAGAACACAATATTTGGCATCACCAATATTTTCTCGAATAACATTCTGAACTTTCTTTGCAAAAATATGCAATATCTCCTTTTGGATCCGAGGTGATGTATAAGAGGCATTAAAAGCAGCTTTATCAAGCACCAGTGAAGACACATGTTCATTATAAGATGCCAGTAATTTTACCAATTGGATAAAATTACCTGGATTGGGTGAATCAAGTCGTTCATTGTGTCCTCTCATTGCACATGCTTGAAAGGTGAGCCATCTAACAGCATCAATTGAGGTCTTGAGTAATACTCGATTGTTGGCAATCTGTTGAGAAGTTTGTTTCTCAATGACTTTTTGAATATGTTGTGCTTCATTCATTAGATCAACACAGCACATAACTGCTCTTTTATGGGGTGAATTGGGATCGGTTCCGACATGAGTTAACAGAGCACAATTCTCTCCATCATTGACCTTTTTCCACGATTTAAATCCTTCTATTGTAAATGCTCCCGCACCAAAACGCCCACTTGGTTTAGCGCATAAATAGCATGACAAACAGAATATAGCATCTTTACTTGGAGAGTATTCGAGCCAATCTGGAAATAATTTGAACCATGAATACTGGAAACGCCTTTTTTTTCTGTTTAAGGGATAAGGAGACATCGCGTATTGATAAGGACCAGCCTTTATGTAAGCTCTTCTAACTTCATCTTGTTGATCCACACGATAAGAGCATATTTGTGGACGCTTTCCAGGATCTCTTTCCATTGACAAACTATCAAATGATGCAATATTAAGTCGAGGGACCTTTGGAGGAGGTTCTTCATGTGAAGAAGTTTCAAAATCAGTTGTTAGAACCTCCACAGCCTCTACTGGAATGGGGAAAGAGGGCTCACCCACTAAATCTGGGGAAGATGAAACATGAGATTGAGAATTCACCTTCTTTATAAAGAAATCAATTCTTTGGTTCTTCATTACCTGTGATTACAGAAAATAAAATGATAGTCTCATGCCAACTTCAAACAGATAACCATATAAATGCACTTTTTAAGAAATACATGAATTCCAAATAACCACAATTTTACAAGCAAATCAAATTAATCAAGCAATATTAATACACAACCACACTAAATAAAATGAACCTAGAATGTATTACGGAGTATGTGATTATGTAACAATAGAATGATCTGCTAAAAATTCTAAAATACAATAAATTATAAATTGAAACTGCTCAAGTGTTCAACCCTAAACAAGATGATAAATTAAAAGAGACTTCTTAGAGATTAGAAGATCCTCAATTTACCTGATTATTGGGCTGTACGGATGGTCCCTTTACAGCTCTGCCGCAAGAAGTGCCGCTGATAAACAAAAAGAGATTTCTGCAAGTCTCGGCCGTAGCAGGTGCCGCTGCTTTGGGATTTCAATTTGGGAACGCTGGCTCGTTGCTCTATGCGCAAGAGAGGACTTGTGAAATGTAAAAAATTAATTTTGTATTTTACTTATTGGAGTGTGGGACCCATCTAATTTTTAATACTATGTAGAAGACTATACGGATATGGGCTAAAAGAATTGAGTAGTGCGCTGGCAGCGGCGGACCTGGTGGGGGGCAAGTAGGGGCTGTAGTCCCCCCAAAATGAAAAAAAAAAATTATTTTTTAAGTATAAATAAATTTATAAATTGATTTGTCCCCCCAAAATTAAATAATGCACAGTACTCCTATGAGATGTCAAAATAAAGCAACCAGCGCACTACTCAATTCTTTTAGCCCATATCCGTATAGTCTTCTACATAGTATTAAAAATTAGATGGGTCCCACACTCCAATAAGTAAAATACAAAATTAATTTTTTACATTTCACAAGTCCTCTCTTGCGCATAGAGCAACGAGCCAGCGTTCCCAAATTGAAATCCCAAAGCAGCGGCACCTGCTACGGCCGAGACTTGCAGAAATCTCTTTTTGTTTATCAGCGGCACTTCTTGCGGCAGAGCTGTAAAGGGACCATCCGTACAGCCCAATAATCAGGTAAATTGAGGATCTTCTAATCTCTAAGAAGTCTCTTTTAATTTATCATCTTGTTTAGGGTTGAACACTTGAGCAGTTTCAATTTATAATTTATTGTATTTTAGAATTTTTAGCAGATCATTCTATTGTTACATAATCACATACTCCGTAATACATTCTAGGTTCATTTTATTTAGTGTGGTTGTGTATTAATATTGCTTGATTAATTTGATTTGCTTGTAAAATTGTGGTTATTTGGAATTCATGTATTTCTTAAAAAGTGCATTTATATGGTTATCTGTTTGAAGTTGGCATGAGACTATCATTTTATTTTCTGTAATCACAGGTAATGAAGAACCAAAGAATTGATTTCTTTATAAAGAAGGTGAATTCTCAATCTCATGTTTCATCTTCCCCAGATTTAGTGGGTGAGCCCTCTTTCCCCATTCCAGTAGAGGCTGTGGAGGTTCTAACAACTGATTTTGAAACTTCTTCACATGAAGAACCTCCACCAAAGGTCCCTCGACTTAATATTGCATCATTTGATAGTTTGTCAATGGAAAGAGATCCTGGAAAGCGTCCACAAATATGCTCTTATCGTGTGGATCAACAAGATGAAGTTAGAAGAGCTTACATAAAGGCTGGTCCTTATCAATACGCGATGTCTCCTTATCCCTTAAACAGAAAAAAAAAGGCGTTTCCAGTATTCATGGTTCAAATTATTTCCAGATTGGCTCGAATACTCTCCAAGTAAAGATGCTATATTCTGTTTGTCATGCTATTTATGCGCTAAACCAAGTGGGCGTTTTGGTGCGGGAGCATTTACAATAGAAGGATTTAAATCGTGGAAAAAGGTCAATGATGGAGAGAATTGTGCTCTGTTAACTCATGTCGGAACCGATCCCAATTCACCCCATAAAAGAGCAGTTATGTGCTGTGTTGATCTAATGAATGAAGCACAACATATTCAAAAAGTCATTGAGAAACAAACTTCTCAACAGATTGCCAACAATCGAGTATTACTCAAGACCTCAATTGATGCTGTTAGATGGCTCACCTTTCAAGCATGTGCAATGAGAGGACACAATGAACGACTTGATTCACCCAATCCAGGTAATTTTATCCAATTGGTAAAATTACTGGCATCTTATAATGAACATGTGTCTTCACTGGTGCTTGATAAAGCTGCTTTTAATGCCTCTTATACATCACCTCGGATCCAAAAGGAGATATTGCATATTTTTGCAAAGAAAGTTCAGAATGTTATTCGAGAAAATATTGGTGATGCCAAATATTGTGTTCTTGTTGACGAGGCTAGGGATGAATCAAAAAGGGAACAAATGGCTATTGTTTTAAGGTTTGTTGATAAACATGGTTATGTGATGGAACGATTTTTTGATATTGTTCACGTTCCCAATACAACCTCACTAACTTTAAAAAAAGAAATTTGTGATGTTCTTAGAAGGCACAATCTGAATGTGGGGGATATTCGAGGTCAGGGATACGATGGAGCAAGCAACATGCGTGGAGAATGGTCCGGATTACAAGCACTTATTTCTAATGAGTGTCCATATGCTTATTATATACACTGCTTTGCTCATAGACTACAATTGGCCTTAGTTGCAGCTGCCAAAGAGGTTATTCCTATTCATCATTTCTTTGAAAAGGTGAATACAATAACCAATGTTGTTACCGCTTCTTGTAAACGGCATGATCAATTACAAGCCGCACAAGCTGAAGAAATTGCACGATTAATTCGTATTGAAGAGTTAGAGACTGGGAGAGGTTTGAATCAAGTAGGTACTTTAAAGAGGGCAAGCGAAACAAGATGGAGTTCACATTTGAGTTCTCTAAGAAGTTTGAAAATCATGTATGTGGCTACTTGTTCAGTTTTGAAGAATATAATTTCTGACGGAACCACATATGCTCAACGAGCAGATGCAGATGCAGTTTATGATGGAATAACTTCTTTTGAATTCATTCTTATTTTGCACATTATGATAGATATTTTGGAAATCTCATATGATCTTTGTCAAGCTTTACAGTGCAAGTCTCAGGATATTGTGAATGCAATGCATCTTGTCTCCACAACAAAGACATTGATCCAGAAGTTAAGAGAAGATGGGTGGGATCTCTTGTTTGGGAAAGTGAAACTATTCTGTGAGAAGATGAGTATTGATATCCCCAATATGACTGACCATTACACTGCAGGTAGAGGCCGATCAAGGCGCATAAAGGGTCCGAACACAATGGCACATCACTTTCAATATGATATTTTTATTGCTACAGTTGATTCTCAGTTGCAGGAACTGAATGAGAGGTTTACTGCCAATATGATGGAATTGCTTGTGCTTTGTTCTGCTTTAGACCCTCGAGATGATTACAAATATTTTAGCATTGAAAATGTCTGTAAGCTCGATGAGAAATATTATCCAGATGATTTCTCCGAACAAGAAAAATTACATTTGAGATTTCAATTGGAGCACTTTGAGCTTGACATTCATCAATTCCCAGGCCTTAAAAATTTGTCAACAATTTCAGAGCTTTGTCAAGAGTTAGTGAAGACAAGAAAGGCAGAGATATACCCTCTTGTTGATAGATTAGTTCGACTTGTGTTGACTCTTCCGATTTCTACCGCTAGCGGTGAGCGTGCCTTTTCTGCTATGAAACTTGTAAAGACAAGGCTTCGAAACAAAATGGAGGATGACTTTTTAACAAGTTATCTGATCACATATATTGAGAAGGAAATTGCACAATCCTTTGATACAGACACCATTATTGATGAGTTTTGTGATATGAAAGAAAGAAGATTGCAATTCAAGCTTCCTAAATAAAGTTTAATGGCATGGGTGAGTATTTTATCTGTCTTTTACCACAAAGGTATTATATTCTATAAAGTTTATATATCATACTTTACTAATTCTGTTTATATTTGGTGTGTGAAGGTCTTGAAGGTGTTGAACATCCAGCTTTTCCACTTCCTCTATTATGTTCAACCTTGGATGTTTGAAGGTGCTGCAGATACTACAATATCTATCCTTATATTTTGTGTTTTTGAAGTGTGCTTACATTGTTAAGGTACACAATGTTGACTTTATATCTAGTATTGTATCTAGTATTACATTGGTGTGTGATTTTGTCCAAATTTGATGATCATATTAATGTATATATAAAGTCATGCTTAATTTTGCGGTTATTAAATTTTGCTTCAATAATTTTTTTGCCCCCGCACTCCAAAAATCCTGCGTCCGCCGCTGTGCGCTGGTTGCTTTATTTTGACATCTCATAGGAGTACTGTGCATTATTTAATTTTGGGGGGACAAATCAATTTATAAATTTATTTATACTTAAAAAATAATTTTTTTTTTTCATTTTGGGGGGACTACAGCCCCTACTTGCCCCCCACCAGGTCCGCCGCTGTGAGCGACCATTGTTATACGGTGGAAGCAATCTATGATTCTATGGTGAACAACATACTCTCTCTCAGTTAAAAACGTGTGAAGAGTAACATGCGTGAATATTGATTTTTTTTTGTTTCAGTGGTAGGGTGATGTAACACCCATTCAAAGAAATGTAGCTCACGTTATAACTGTGTCATACCAATGATATTTGAACAAAATGACATTAATAACCCTACTTTTCTGGGCCTTGTATCATTAAAAGTCCACCTACTTTTTGTTTTCATTTTAAACTTTAAATTTTCAATTTGATTTTCTTATTTCACTTTGCCAATTTTTGCAAGAGATAAAGTAGGATTCCCGATCGGCGTTCATGGTGAAGCTTGTGGAAGATCCATGGTCCTCAAGGCTCGTCCGAACAGAAAGAGACGTGAGCGTCTGAGCGACATCCGGTGAAGCTTGTTCGATCTGTGATTCAGGAGCCTAAACTCGTTGCCGACCTGCTTGTGAATGCGTCCGATTTTTTACCGGCCAAGGGAAACGTCTAACCTTCTGTTGCTCGCGTACGTCCGCCCTGGATATACTGATTTTGACCTGAAGCACAATTCTCGCCGCTGCTTTGCTTCCTCCTCCATCAATTACAGCGCGAATTTCATTTCTGCTTTGGCTTCCATTCTATCTAATATGTTTTCAAATGTGAGAGGTGATTGGAAATTGAGGTGCTGGTTGCTTTTACTTCCAATTGGTTCTCTCCATTATTTCCCTTTAAATCATTAATTAATCAATTCTGTATGTACGAAGCATTTGGCAGCAGCTTTGTTTCGGTCCTCCTAGCTAGCTTCCCCATGGTCGCAACCATCAATTCACCATTCAGTCATTTCCACATACATTTGTTGATGTTTGCTGGATGTGATGAAATCCGTTTTAGGTCCTCCCTACCCATCATGCTACAAAGTCAGTCATGTCTGTTGTTGTCAACAATTTGCAGAGTAGATAATCCATAGACTCTTGTACAATTTGTTTCTTATCTAAAACTAGGAGAAGACAGTGGAGGATTTGACTATTGAGGTCATAACCTTAGAAGCAGGGCATGGTGCACATTTGGAGGCGGAAGAACATAGACTCGGGGCCAGAGAACAAGACATTCTTTACCGAGGCAGAAGAGTAAGCTAACATGCATGAGGGTGGCTGCTTCCATCTCCCAAATTGAGGTGGCCAATGAGTCGGAGTTGAAGAGCCTCACCAAGCTAGAGGAAGTTAACCCAAATTGATCTTTTAGGGCGGAACAATAATAACTTTCACATGTTTGGTGAGGATGATGGGGCAGCAAGGCACTCCTGTAATTACTTTGTGTTTCTTGTAATCTATAGTCTTCCTAGTTTTGTCAAGGTATGAGAAGTATGGATGGGTTACTCCTTGTCAAAGATGACTCACTTGCCCTACAATTTTACATCATCGGACTTGCCTATTCAATATGCACTTGATCAAGAAACAAAATAGAAAAAAAAGGTACTCTAATCTCACTTAGGTGACTGAACAATTTCTCTAAGGTGAATAAGTTTAGCCTTTGTGTTCATTAATTCCTTGTACCTAATGATTAATATACGGATTTTATTTTTTTATGAAAATATAGATAATATCATATGTGATAATATGACATTAAAGGATTTTATTTTTTTCATTACGTGCTTTTTTTGTCTTCTATTTGTTGGGTATGTTTTGAAAAACAAAGAAATTTATTAATAAAAATTAATTAAATAAAATGACTAAAGAAAACAGGAAATAGATCAAGTAGAATTTACCAATTTAGCCAAAGGTCGTGTATGCACGATTTTCTTAAAAGGTATTCATTGGCTCCCGGGGTGCTAGGAGCGTTGCAAGAATCGTTTCCCAAGATACAATGACTAACGAGCAATCGTTTGAGCACTCAAACGACTGTTCCAGCGAACATGAACAAAGACAGAACACAAAGGAAGTTTTCAGAGATAGCTGCAGGTGTTTTTGAGAGCTCAAATCGTGTGAGATCGTTTGTGAGTGTGTATGAACGTGTGTTTGTTGCAAACCACCTGCTAGCCTTTTATAGGGAAGATTTGTTGTGTGTTAATGGAGTTTTAATGAATATGAACGTTGGTAGTCAATGTCCAGCTCGTTGGCACTGATTCGTCCAGCAACAGCCTGCTGCAGACGTTCAACCTGTACGGAGCGGCAGCCTGCTCCAACCTGGAGTAAAAATAGGAACTCGACGGAGGAACAAAAATTAACGTTTTACTTTAGAAGATAGAATTTTCGGACGGCATTCGTGTCCGCAAGTCGCCCGTGCAAGTCGCGCTTTTTGTTCTCCGGTTTCGGGACTTGATTCGCACCCCCCCCCCCCCTACGCGTGAGAGGGAGCCTTTACCCTAAGGAATTTTAACTCCTTAAGGGAAGTTTCCCTTTATAAAGAGTTCAAATTCCCTTGGGTTTTCCGGTGTGGGAAAAAACCACACTAGAAACCCATCGTTTCCCATTTTTCTCCATTTCAACGAGTGAACTTCGAGAATCAATTTCTCATTCACCCGTTATCCGTTTTGAGCGTACCATATATCGAATCGTAGCCCTAAGCAAGGACAATCCGAAACCAGTTTGACCCGACCCAAATCGGAAGTGACCCCACTCAAAAAAATTGCCCCAAAATGATCATTTAATGCAATTTATTAACACATTTTTCAACACTATTTCCTGCTATTTGTGTGTATTTATTCTAATGCTTTTATATATTGTTTTTGTTTCATTTTGTTGCATTGTATATGTTATTTTTTTTAGATTATTGTTTCATCTTCTTATTTATTCTAATGCAACATGTTTTTTTGTTTATGTTCCTATGTGTTTTCATTGCTTTCCTTGCTTCTCTTTGCCTCTACTTCATTGTGGCTATTTGTCTCTCAATTTCTAATACTTGAATATATTTTTTTGTTTCGTTTTATTGCATCGTATGTGCTGCTTTTTGTTGAATCATGTTGTTTATTGTTGCATCTTGTTGTTTATTGTTGCATCATGTTGTTTATGATTGTCTACAACTGATTTGGGTTTCTGGGCGATTTTTACTTTTGTAATTATCTTTGCTACTTCCTCAAAATAAAAAATCATTTATTGATTTATATGATCAAATGAAATGATAAATTTGAATTTATGATTAAAAAGTAACTGCAAATCTAAAGAGACAATGAAAAACAAAAATTTCACAAATATAAACAAAAAGAAACACAAACAAACAACAAGCATAAAAAATAATCATGTTCGTTATTTTCATTTTTCGAGTTTTATATTACACCCTTTTAGTTTTCATTAATTTTCTGATTTGTTATGTTATTATGAGTTATATTTTATATTTTTCTAATATCTTATAAAATTTGATTTCAAGTTTTTGAAAAATTTCATGTTATTTATTAATTTCCGATTTTAAAAAAAAAAATACTTTCTTAGAGTTTCTATTCATCTTTAAAAGTTCCAAAAACATTTTTATCTCATTTACATTTTTTTGTTCATAATTATGAAGTGTTAATATTATTTTAAATATTTTTTACTTTTCAATTAATTTTTATTTGATAAAAAAATTAATTTTTATTGAATTTTATATTTTGGCATTTTACATTTTTATATAAATCATATTATGTATACAAATTTGACAGTACAAAAAGCATTTTGTAGTTTTTTTACAGTCTCCAAACTTTTTTAACTCTTTTTAAAATTTTATTTTTGAGTTTTTGTTTTTATATTTTTCACATGGTTAAGTTTTAAAATTTAATATACAAGTTTTCTATTTTGAATTTTTATGATTCATTTTTTGAATTTTTACTATTGAGTTTTATATTTATTTATTTTTAAGTTTTATATTATGATAAGAGTTTTATTATTGAGTTTTATACTATTTATTATTTTTATTCTTTTTTATTTTATCACATATCTGTATTACCTAATACTTAATGTTTTGGATTATTTTGATGTTTAATTTTTTGTACATTTATTGTATCTTTTTATTCCTTTTTACCATTTTGCTAATTTACATTGTCTTCCTAATTACTTGACTTTATATTATTCAATTTTGTGTGTAAATTTTAATTTTTGAAAAGAATTATAACAGCAGTATTTACATTAACAACAACTTTTCTTATTATCATTATTGCTTTTAATTGGTAGTTTTCAATTAGAGTAAAAAAAATGAAAGTGCGTGACTTCAATATTAGTTAGAGAGTGGGTGCAATATTTTCAGTATTTGTACGTAATTAAGATTCATGACGTGAGTATTAGAAAGTCAACATTTTTTTGGTCAACCAAAAATAAAAGTCAATCCTCCCTATGGGTAATTAATTCAATTTTTTAAAATTAAAATTTATATATTAATAAACTACATTAAAATCTCTTCAAAGTTGTAAACTCCAAATTAGAATATAATTAAAATTTGAAATGCTAATTAAGTGAACAGAACGAAACTGTTTGACCAAGAAAAGTCAAATTTGCAAATCAATTTGGGGCGTAACCACGTAGGTCTATAATTGAAAGATAACTTCAACTTAGTTACTTTTGAAAAAACTTTCACAAATGACAAAACATGATATTACTTCCCTTTTTAGACCATATGTGAAAAATTCCCTACGTTTGGGCCATCTGTCCTTTCATTTTATATACTTAGGGCCTAATCTAGTCCTCCCCAAAATTTCTATAACCTTGTTGGTTGTTTTACAATCAATATAATTTGGTAAATGTTCTCTCACATTTATCACACCAAAATGGTGGGTT